GGGGGGGGGGTCTGTGTGTGAAATCAGGTTTGACCAAAATATAGCTCTAGCTTAAATCTCAATAGATAAATGTTTTCCTGGAACTACGGACAGAAAACCATTTGATTCTCAGGCCTCTAGAACAGGTCTATTCAACTGGCGGCCCGCGGGCCACATCCGGCCCATGAGTGACCAAAGTTCGACCCGCCAATTGGATCATTCATTTCTTAAGCCCAAACCCCCTGTTTTCTACTTTAATTACTCRAAGTTATTTTAGTTAAACACAGACATGTCTGGTARCTACAGAAACATCAGAATCTTGGCTACAAGCTGGTAAAAACCATTTCTATGAACATCCAAAACAGTTAAAAGTACAAGCAGTTGAAGATAGAGCTATGAAAGTGAAAATAAAATTAGTTTAAAAATTTGGCAAGTCAAAGATGTCAAAATATTTAGTGGTAAATAAGAGGCATAATGTGTTTCTTTTTGTTTGTTTGTTTATTTTATCGTCACTACATTTATTAAATAGGGTTCTGTATGTTTTCATGATTAAATACAGCAGATCTTTGTAATACTTAGTTTATTTACATAACAACTTTAATTGCTGGATGTTTGTTTGGCCCCTGAGCTGTTGGTCTGCATTAACTGTGGCCCCCGGAGCAATTAATAGCCCTGCTCTAGAACCTTTGAACACATTGTCATTTTTTTAGTCACGCGTCATATTTCATGAAAACGTGTGTGTGTGTGTGTGTGTGTGTAGGGGGGTGGGGGGGTAATTGGGGTCAAGAACACCTGAAGCGTAGAATCCAACAGTTACTGGATCCATTCCTTATCCGGTCCTGTCGGTCTATCACTCCCTGCTTCCACCACACTGGATCAGGAAGTGTGTGTGTGTGTGTGTGTGTTTCAGTGGGGGAATGACAGATGGGGACACACAACCCTGATCCCAGCATGAGTGTGTGATGCTGCAGGAGGTGACAGCAGTGGATGGAAACTGTTCTGAATGAAGGAGCAAGAAGCTCATTTGTTTTTAGCTCATTTAAAATGTGTTGCTGTGTTTTAACTAAACACACAAGTACACAATGAAACAGTAATTACAACCAGGGCCGGATTAACACTTCCCTGTACCCTGGGCAACAATATTCAAGGGCCCCATCATCACGACCCCAGGATTACCAGTCTGGCAAAATACAGAGTAAATTATTGCAATATATAGTAAATATACTCAATACTTCAGATTCTAAGTGTATTTTGATGTACAAATGCTCATAGAACTACAAACACACTACTACGTTCTCTTGTCAAGGACACTCCTTCACATGATGCTATAAAAACAAAACACATCAGTATAATCTGGTAAACATGAKCCACTACATTGAGATRGAGGGAAGTGTCCTCCATTTTCACAAAAGCAACACTTGACATTACACAACCCTCTCAGTCACCTGACCCACCTCATGTGGACTGACCAATGAGAAGATCTCAGCTCATGTTCACAGTGACAGGCAGCCTCTCTGTGCAGCACAAGAGCTCCAACAGACAGTTTAACAAAAGCAGGAGAAAACCAGATATTTAAGGGTATAACCATCATCTCAGAAGTGAGGGGACACAGTTTTAGAGGTCTATTGAGTGATTTATCATCCTCTCTTATTAAATCACAACTTTCCTTAGTGGCTAAAACACATAATTACTGACAGCCACAGTACAGTTCCACTGACTGACTTTAGTTCTTTAAACTATCTATTAACAAAATCTGAAGTTTTAGTAGCCAAAAGGTAGCCAAAGTAGAAAAAATAATAAAATAAAATAAATATTTTGGAGAAGAGTACTTTTGAAACACAGTATCTATGAAAACCCTGTCCTGATACCTGTCTGGTTTCTCAACAACAGTCATGTGATTTAACCTCCATCTTTCTGTGGTTAATTCTCTGAGACTCTGTTACAAATTGTGTCAAAAGTAGAGACTTCAAACTTTACACCAGTTTTTAAAGACTGTTCCTCTTCAAGAATAATAGTCATAAATTCTCCTTACCTGAGGAAAGTCTGCATTATGATCCCTGCTGTCTCCTCCCTGACCTTGTTCTTTGTAACTGTGGTAATGAAGATTTATTTTAAACATGTGYAAAGCAGCCAGCATGACTTCTGCACAGAAATGAAAGACGATTGGGTTTATCTAGCATTGATAAACTAGCTTGTCAAGGGGTGTAACAGGTAACAACAACTAATCATGTTAACTAGCTAAACATTATATAATGTGCAACTCATCATTTAGCTAACATTATCTGCCTCCAACAGCATGACTCAACTTACATGGTTTGTTTGGTAAAAACTGTGAAGTTTTAGTTGCTCTTTACACCGCCAGGCTCTGCTCAGCACAGCAGCTCCTATCGTCATCTCATCTGCAGGAGTAGCTTGCGCACGCTCATGGTGCGTTCAAAGACGGCTCAGAAAAATGCATTACCACATGTTAATAATGGATAAAACAGCTGTTGCGGCTGAGAAAAGTGCGGGAGACAGAGAGCGCAGATGCAGGAAGTGCGGGGAGACATGTCCACGCATATTCCACATCCGTATGTCCATGCCTTCACTGCCTAGGGCCCTTTGGAGACCGTGGGCCCCTGGGCAATTGCCCAATTGCCCATATGGTTAATCCGGCCTTGATTACAACGTATATCACCTGTTAGGTCAAGAGTTTGTAAAATGTTGGTTAAAGTATTGTAAATGTAAAAAGCAGCTGCATGATGAAGTTGTCTCTGTCTCTGTTTTATGTCCCTCTGAGGGATTCGTTGTCCAACTGTCCTGCTGCTTTCTGATTTACATCAAACCAGCCTGCAGCTCCTTTCAGCCGGCACATGTCCTGACTATTGTCTCAGAGGTTTTTTTTTTCTCTTTAGAGTCTGAAACTTAATTTGTGGCTCTGCTTGCTTCTCCTTTGGTTCTGCTGTCTCCACGGGCCTGACCTGTGACAGAAAGCTGCGCCCCCTGAAGCCCCCTTAAAGCACCGAGGCTGAGCGAGGCTCTTCTTCTGCTAATTAGCATAGCAATGATTAAAGAGGATTAGTGCTTCAGCTCAGTCAGATGCAAATGTGTGCACTCGTACGTGAGGCCGCACGTTTTCAGCTTGTTGATCCACGTTGTTGGGAATTGTTGCAGAAAGTGATGGTTTGTGTGTAAATTTAGTTACGAATCCTGAAAGCTGATGGATTGTGTTACATTTAGTATGTTTCACTCAATAAAATGCTTAATTTATTTTACATTTTTTTAAGTAATAACAGTTGATCAATAAATTTAAGTAACTTTCTGAACCTGCAAAAATATGTTGCAAAATTCATAAAGTTGGTTTTTATTACTTTACAAGCTTCTACTTCCATCTGAAGACAGTATAAATTCTCCTATTATCAGTATGTGAGGCGATAAAATGCACTTAAAACAGCTTTCAATAAAAATACTGCAAAAATTGTCATTTAAACTGAGTTTTGAAATTTTATATCCAGCCAAAAAATATATTTTTATCTTGTTTTGAGACTGATTTACTAAACAAGAACAGAATGTGTAAGATTATTAATCTTGTTAGCCTGGAAATTTGACTCAAATTAAATGACAAAAATCTGCCAATGGAGTAAGACCAGTTACACTTGGCAAGTTACTGGAAATAAGAAAGATTTCAGTCAAATTACTGGATTTATTCAAGTATAATTCATAAAATTTAATCCATAAAATCATCCATAAAGTTGGGGGGTAGTATTATACTTGGAGAAATATTTTTACTTATGAATTTTAACCGAAATATTGGCTTCATTCACAAAATGCCTGAGTCCAGAAATGAGACCGCGTCGTAAAAATCATTTGAAACGAGCTCACCTCTGACACTCCTCTGTGCTTCAGAGCGAGATAATAACAGATCCAGGCAGGAGACATGATGTGAAAAAAGGGAGTAAAAAGTAGTCCTGCCCCTTAGTAATGATAACGAACTAATGACATTAGCATGTGACCGAGCCGCTCCTGGAACAACAACAAACACATGTTCGTCTGTAATGGCTGCCGTCTACCGGTGTTCTGAAAAAGTTTGTATCCCTGAAAAAACGTTTCCCCACCAGAGGGGCGCTCGCGAGTAGGAAGTAATCTGCTTTTCCCCCACAAGATGGTCCAAATC